GGTGCACACTGCGATCGGATCCTTGCGGTTGAGGTCCAGGGATGCACACTGCGATCGGATCCTTGCGGTTGAGGTCCAGGGGTGCACACTGCGAGGGGATCCTTGCGGTTGAGGTCCAGGGGTACTGCGATCCGGAGCTGGCCAAACAAGATCGGCGAAGCAAATTGGCGAGGAAGGAAGCAAGGAGGAAGGAGGAAGGAGGAGGACGAGGAGGCGGCGGAGGCGGAGGCGGAGGCGGAGGCGGAGGCGGAGGCGGAGGCGGAGGAAGAACAGCTGTGATAAAATCTACAGTAACAACCCTCACCTGGCAGGTGGGGAAATAGGTAAGTGGATTTATGAAGATTCCATAAGATTCCTGACATGTGGCATTGTAACCACAACATAGTACAACTATCCCTGGCCATACCTCCAAAAAGCAACAAAGAACAATACCCAACACATCCCCAAAGCTTCCAAACATTGCCTTCCGCAAAGCAAAGAAACACACTGCAGATCCCCGTACAGTATCTCTGCACCGCAGAAACGCCAAGAACGAACGGTGACTGCGGTGACCGGTGGTTTGCGCCTTGAGATTGGTCGGAACCGCATTGGAGCCCAACCAGTCTCGCATCTGCGATCGGAGTCTCTGGAGCTTGTTGATGCACTTCTTCCTGGGTCGGTCACAGCAGGCTCGGGAGGTTTCTATGCTTTTCTGGAGGTGTTTGCCTCTGGTTCAACCAAGTGGGCAAAACCTCCGATCCAGCAGACTGGCATCGCATCTCCACATATTTTCTTGGGGTGCTTGGGGTGGATTCGAACGAAGCATCGCAAGGCAAAATTCTATGACTAATTCTATGTGCTTTTTTCTTGGAAATGGACGGGCTCACGGTTCCCACAGGTTCATTGTGTCCATCATGGTCCCGATGTTGAGTGGAACGGTGCTAGCAGCGGAAAATTTCACGACATATGCATACCGTTACCCATACGGCCATACGGCACATGCCGCCTCCTTTGTTTACATGTGCATCATGTGCAGCATGGTGCGGCGTGCTCCAAAACCTGACCGTAGTGGTCTTCTGAACCTACCAAAACGAGGGGCTGTTGCAATTGGACCCAGAAACACTTGCTGCGATGACGACCAAAGTCCCATTCTACATCTGGGTATGTGCTTCTATGAAGACCCTCCCGGCAAAAAAACAGTCAAGGAGACTCACTTTCCACTGTTGTTCAACCCATGCCTAGACTCTGTCGCTGTTTTTTCTCTGTTTGGCTTGTTGATTGCACTTCTTATCCAGGCAATGGTGCTTTCTGCTTTTTTTTTTCTGCCCTTATTCTCCACTTTTTCTTGTTCAATGATTCTGAGACTTTAGGTGTAGGTGGTGCACATAACAGTATGCATCCACTGTCCACGCTGCCAAGTGTCAACTCCTCGCCCAATCTCTCCTTGGGTTTTGGTGCCATGTCGAAAGCTGGACTGAAGGTCACTTATGAAGGTTCGAGGAAATCTGCAATGGGAACCCTGCTGAGGTCAGTCATGTATTCTGACAACATTCTTATCCAAAGCCATGTTCATCTGCCTCGTCTGAGCTGAAGTTCCGTGATTTTGTGATGAACCCATACCAAGCTCAGCATTGTCGCGGAGTGGTGTGGCGTGCTGTGTCATCAGGTGCAGCCCTTATACTCAAAAAATCCACAGGGTGGCTTACTAGTTCAATGATTTTGAGGTTTTGGGGTTTTGGATCTTAGCAGGATTCAGCAAAGAGCATAATTTGTCCGAAATAAAACAACAAAACAGGCCCTGCAACCTCCTACCCACAACAAACAAACACACACACACAAAAAAGAAAACACAACAAACCTCCATCCCACTCACCCCCAACTGTAGATAAAGGTTAGTCAATCCGCATAGAAAACGTGAAACGATCTCTTTGCAGTTGTATCCAGCTGCAACCTTGAACCATGAAACAGGACAATGCAGAACGTACACACTGTACATCTCCAAGTGCTACAAAAAACCAACAAGCCCTCAACATGCACCTGGATTCATAGAATTCCATGGACCTTGATTCAGCTTGACGAACTTGACTAACTGATTCAAGCTTCCTTCTGAGGACCTTGTGCGCTAGCCATCTGGTCCCATAGCTCCGCGAATTCCTCGGTCCCTTCATGACCTGAGCACGCACGCGTGCGAACGTTCTGAGTCTATACGAGAAGAGCACACCAAAGGAGCGACCTAGCGAATGCTCTTCTTGGGAAAAATGAGCAATTCAGCCATGAGACCCTTCTTCAATACAACCTCGACTTCTTTTTGCAGTTTTCGCGCTGCCGCCGCCGCCATGACAGTGGCAGGTCCGCGTTAAGAATGCGATCAAAGTCGAAGAGGACTGCGATCAACGTGATCGTGGCTGAGCCAGAGTCGCTGCAGGGAGTGCGTCGTGGCATGTTTGCCAACTTGGAAACACATGCCACATCTTGACCATGGCTAAAGGTCCAGCAGCATGGTGCAACATTGACATTTTGGTGAAGGTGCAACCTCCTGTTACCTCCAGGGTGCCATATCCATGGCCACTATTGGTGGGGGATAGCAACAATGGACGTTTGAAGCTTTTGGAGGTTAACACTGGACTCCACGCGTAGTCCAGTGGATGAAATCCACAAAGTTAACCAAAAGGCTTCTGCTATATCGAATCCATATCTATCTGCCTCGATCCACTAGTCGATCCACTAATCCATATCTATCTACTCGAAACAATTCGTGGCCTAATGAATGACCGATTTGTGAGCCAGATCTGTCACATCTGTGACATAAATCCACTTCCACATCACTCACACAGAGGCACAAACGTCCGCCTCTGACGCCTCTGACCGCGCAGAAGTGCACTAAAAGCCAGACCTTGGACGCAATGGGACCGGGGAGCAAACCTGCAGGCATACCTCTCGGATCTCAGCAATCTAGTTCATGGAATGTATGGAGGGGACTGATTTGTCTAAATCCCTTCTGGATAAAGCAGTTGATTAAAACAACTCCACCCCTGCAAGTCCGAAGTACCAAGTTAAACGCGTACCTTTTGGTTGTGGGAAACCAAGCCCTTTGATCCAAGCAAGTTCAACATCACCATGCTAATGGCACATAGATCCTGCAAGAATGCTTCAAACGTTTAAATCTATGCGCACAGTATACTACTATCAAAAATTGCAAAAAAAACTGTGTTGTCAGGATTCCTTACATAGGGACCTGTTACGCTCCTGTTACGGTTCTAGAGGATCATTGGCATTTTTAGAACTCTGAGGTTGTTCCGGAACTGTTACGCCCCTGTTGCGCTAAATTATTTGCCCACAATTCATTCCTTTTTGCTCTTAATGTCGAATCATGAGCCTCAAAACCACTCAAAATTGCCTTTGATTCCCTTCCAAACCACCTGAGAGAGATCATGAGCACTGTTTTTCTCTTTAACGGGACCAAGTAAAACTAGGTTCGAATTCTAAATGAACAAGTTTAACGAGGTCATTGACGTGGAGGGCACATATCTACATATAACAGGTCCAACTTCTTTGATGTGCCAGAGTTAATAATGGGCCGTTCCCCCAAAACATGGATTGACTGAATTTGATTTCATGTGTTGTGATGACATTTCTAGAAGGCGAATGTTTCTCTGCATCTCTGCTAACGGTTGTCAAATCATGTCTCTCGGCCATGTTTGTTCTGCAGAGGCCTCACATAGATATGAACATGTTTCTTATCTTTGGCAGGTTGATGCTACCCAAATCCACAGCATACGGATTCACGATCCCAAATCCCCTTCCAACATGGTCTCTAGATGCAGAAACGTCCATATTTACATAAAACTTTTGTTTTATATTTGATTAATACGAATATGTTTATTCATCTCGATTGATTCTAACTTGTTGTTATGTCTCCATCTTGAACACCTGCAGCTGCGTGACCGAGTCCTTTTCTTTCCGCTGCTCGTCTCGCTCATTCCGCGCGCGGTGTTCTCACGGACCGGACCTGATCCTTTGAGATCCGAGTCCTTGGAATGACCGAATCAGTTCCCCCAGGCACTCCTTGGGACTCGAATAATGTCTACAAATGGTTTGGTTCCGGTGGATGAAGTCAAACAGGGAGGTCGGTCACTGCATGAATGGGCGAATGTGGCCACCTATGTTGAACTGCAGGAACTCCAACACAAAAACATTGCTGAAGTCGTTGAAACTCAAATGCTCAAACCCAAGTGTTTGGAAGAGTGAACTTCTGCCACTGGAGGCTGTCCGAAAGAACGGCTTCGACCCCGTAGCTCCGACCCGTGCCAGTCGCGCACAAGATCAACACACCATTCCCCCACACAGCTGACAAACACAACACCAACCAGGAATGACGTGTATGATACTGTATAACCACAAGCTGTAACATGATGCAATCATGTAAACATTGGGAGAATCGACATGAATCAACCCACAAAGCCACAGAGCGTAGAAGTTCAGGCCTTGGGTCATTCCAAGAGCTCCTCTCGCGCCGAGCGTGGCCTGGACCTTTGCGGTGAGGACTTCCGGGTCGTGGCGCGTGAGGAGATTGATGGCACATCCTGCAGAGCTGGAGCAAACTGCGGGTGTTTGGGTATACCTGAACACTCCATGTACCATTAAGTACCCAATTCAAATGACTACAAATCTATTGTGTTGAATAGTAAGTGTTCTGTGTTTCAGTGCTTTAAGGATGCAAATCGAGTAGAAACACACCCATCCAGCGGCAGCAAGAACCAACACAGCATCAATAATTATAGCACGTCGTGGCACTACTCAGAGTTTAATATAGAGTTTGCTCATCTATCTATCTATCTATCTATCTATCTATGCATCTATGTATACAAACCCCAAAATAATTTAAATAGATAGAACAGTAAATCCCTACAAAAGATGTAGTATTGGGAACCGTTTCTATGAATTTGGGGACCACTATAGTATGCACTAAACACACGCTACGTAGGCTTTTGGCCATGACACTGTGCACACGACTTGCTTCAATAATAATCTGGCATCTCCACAAAATACACAACACATCACAACACTCACCTGCGGAGTGGGAGAGGGACTAGTGACTTAGATAAAACCAGGAAGCTCCTTTTTCCTCCAATGCTCAAAATCTATGTCAACCGGCAACTGCTTTCTTCAGGGGCTGGGGTGTTTACCCGAAAAACGACCCAGGCAAAAACGGCTCGCCAAAAGAGTTGATCAAACTCGACGTACTCATCAGCTGGCCGGTCCTCTGTATCGCTGCTGGCGCTGGCCACACTGCGCGTGTGGCTGGGAGGTCTCTTACCGACAATGCCCATCAAGGTGCTCACACCATCATGAGCGTCTCCTGATGAAAAAGGCGCTCCAAATCGGAGGAGTCAATGAATGTTCCCCACTCCTACATTTGCTACGTAACATATGTGCCGTATATACACGGATGTCCGACTGTCCCCGGAACTGCTCGAAGTGAAGATTAGAGGAAATCATAATTACAAACAAAACAAGCCACAGATTCCACAATGGTGCGTGCCCTTAGTAGGACATTGAACCCCAAAATCCGTGACCGTTCGAAGCTTTTAGGTAATGGTACCGACCACACTCGTCTTCTCAGCGTATCGGGGCGACGAAAGGCCAGGCCTGCTTGGAGCTTCCGGGCGGCTTCCGCCACTGAGACAGCCATGGAGCTCCGCAAGCGCTTCGCCAGGCTGGCCTCGTGGTGAGTCGAACATGGCCTCCATGCATCTCAACGCCCATCACCCAACCCCCCATGCCTCTGTCCCAATACAAGCATTAACACAGCTTCATTGAGGGTAGAAAAAGGGTGTTGGTCCTGGTCTACCCACCTGATGATTCACACTGTTAAAATCAAACAAATCACCTGCATGCGTGCAGCTTGACAAAGCAATGAGAACGAGAATGACGGTGATCATGATGACAATAACAACGATGATCCTGTTTCTTGCGCGATCTCGAATGGCATGTGCACGTTTCCATTAAGGACGTCTGCAAAACCAGTTGCAACGAGGTGATCAAACTCAAAGGATCTCAATACGGTATAAAGGCCCAAGCAAAAGGAAAGGGAAGTCATGAAATGTCCCAAGCCTTTCACTTCTTTGTCCATATTGAATATGTTTAACCGTTTAACCGTGTCTTTCCTGGCCAAGGTGGCCAAGGTCATTTTAAAACCAATACAAGAAAGAACATGGCACTAGGGTCCAATAGCGTATACCATGGCACCAAGGACTTTCTCATCAATAATGTGTTAAACTAGCCATTCAAATTGCACCCCAAACTGTTCAACTATAAGTCGACAATGCAAAACAACTCCACCCAACACCTCGTCCTCTGACAAACCTCAATAATAATTCAATTGGACGTATTTTCCAACACAAAACTAATATCAAATCCTTAAATCTTGGCCGGTGGCTCCAGCCCCCCCCCAAAAAATACTTGGACAAATTTTGGGATCACCCAAGCAGTTGGCAGTTGGCCCCCTGATGTGCCTCGTTTTACAACATCGTTCAGGAACGATGCATCATGAACGATGCTTGATGGCATGGAATGATATGGAATGGCGTGGCGCCCCAAACAGCAAGGAAAGGACCATGTCATGTCATGCTTGGTGAGCGTCAGTCAGCCGTGTAATGACTCTTTGAGCTACCAGTGAGGAAAATGCGTCTGGAAGTCAAGCCAGACCAATGGCACAAAGCAGTAAAACACAATGATCGTGGTTTATGGCACCATGGTTCAATGGAGTGGGGAAGTCGCAACACTTTCCAGCTACAGTGGTCCAACTAGATCCCATGGTTTCGACACTTCTTCCGCACAGATCACCGGACTGGCACACGTCGTCCGATCTCGTTCCGGCCCAAAGGCTGGTGCCGGAACGGCCCGAGCTCCGCTCCGGGTTGGCCAGGGATTGATGCTGTCCTCGCCCTCGTAATCCTCGGAAAGCCGCGTATCGCGAAGCCCCGATCCGACCAACTGGCGCGTTTGCAGACTCTGTGGAAGAGAGGCGGAACAGAGTCCTTATGATTTTTAAAGGGGATGTTAACCTTCCCTGAGGTTCCTTCTTTTTTGGGCTACCAAACCGCTCTTCTTTTGCCCAGGCTTCTCGGCCCAACTCCTTGATGAGCTCCGCGGCACGTCGTCCAAGGCCACTCACTGCAGCCAATAAGACCTCCTCCAAACGAAGGCGCACTGGACCTGTATACGACGCCAATGAACCAGCGAACTCCCGAAGAAATGGGAGTGGAGTCAGGGAGTCACTACACATGAAAACAATATGTATCATGCAAACAATGTAGACTCTTCATTAATAAACCCCCCAAGCTTGAAGAGGATGTCCAATTCAACTGGGGGGGGGGTTGTTAATCAAGAGTCTACATTAGTCAGTATAGTGCCATACGGAATGCTACTAGAGACTGCAATTGTTTACACAAAACCGGAACTTCAAAAGGGTACCATCCACAAGTAGTGTAGGATGATATGCGCGATGTCTCTTGCATGAGTTGCCGTGCAATTCGTGACGCATCCGCTCAGCACGGTTTTCCGTTGTCAACGAGGGTTTTCTGCTGGCTGGTCCGAATTCACATGTCGCTTGTATAGATGATTATAGATGAGACAATGACTAATGACAGGCGGTAGTAAGTTTATGTATAAGTGTTACATAAGTGTTACCTGCTGGAGTGCAGCCAAGTGTTACTTTGACTTCAACAGCGGTGGGCGGCCGACGCTTAGGCCTAACCGACCTTCACACGAAGCCGACGGCCTCTGTGCTCTGGTCGCTTGGAGAGCGCCATGCGGATCAACGCTTCGCAATGGACGTCACTGGACAAGGGCGACAACAGCAGCTGCAGCTCCTTAGGTGCGCGGCTCGGTTTACATACAAAGAGTATATCAGTATATCAATACATCAATGTAGTCTATATATAATATCAAATATGGGTGCACAAAAATGGTCCAACCGCTTTGTGTTTAGAAGTCGCACTGCAACCTGCTGCACAGGGCCAAGCCCGCCCCGCATGCTTTTGTCTCTTGTTCGTTTGGGGCGCGAATGAGTGGGTGCCACTTGGAGATTACAAAGTGCCGTCTTGATGAGGACACCTCAAACATGCTTTCAACTCTCCCCCCAAAAGTCCTTAAACAAAGAAACAGTCGTTTCAAACTGGTAAAACACCGGGGAATTAAGGGACTCTCTCCAACAACAAACTTGTCACACTGCGAACAATGACTCTGAGAAAAAGTCAAACAGCATATGTTCAGGCATAACCAATGTAAACAAGCACGTCCGCTCATCTTCCATGTGTCTGTGGCGGTGATTGAATGAGCATCCAGTCGCATGCCCTTGTGTTTGGCCATCCTGGCCAGGGAGAAAGCACCAGGCTATCTGAATAGAACAGGTGGAGCGTGTTTTGTTCATTGAACATAAACATATGGGTATCTGCTAAGAACATCAAATAATACTCCACCACTGGACGAACATCAAACAGGAATCTTTGCAGGATGAACCAAACATCAGCTTCACATCATGTGGATCAAAAAGTAGGTGAGCGTCCATTTTCGATGTCTCTGAACATGTCTTCCATTAACTCATCACCACACCAATTGCTGCACACCAAAAAATTGTCAGAACCACATCAAGTGATCCAAGTGTACCAAGAACCATCCATCAAGAAACTGAGTGAACTCAACTCATCTCCTGCGAGCGTGCTCCATGAGCGCCCGCCAGGCAGTGGCTTCGTTGCTCAGCTTCAAAGAGCTCATCAAGCCTCGTCCCCGACACTCCGCCCCTAGCCCTAGTAGCGTCCTTGCTCCTAGTAGTAAGGCCAGGAGCCCCTAGTAGCGAAAGATCATTCAAGCCAATCAATATCATATAAGATTCATATAGGATGTTCATCCAAACCAACACCCGGGTCCTACGACTTGCGCAGGAGGTGCTTGTGACTCTCGCTGCCTACCCAATGCACCCCGTGATATATGGGATGTAACGGATATGTAGCGGGTATGAAGGGGGCGAACCCAAAGACTGGTGGCTTTCACCACACGTTTTCAGTACTCGCTGAGATCTAAATAGGCCTCTAGGATCCTCTAGACGTCTGCCAGCACACTCAGAGCTTGGCAAGTGGATGTGTGTGATTTTCATGTATGCAAGTTTTTCTTTTCGGGGCCAACAAACCAACCCTTACACCCCAGAACATTAACATGGAACCTGAAAACACTGGATTGTAGAGGAAAATTATCAATTCTCAGGTTCCATGTTAGTTTGCGGGAGAGTAATGAAACTATTTACACTTCGGTCAACTCAGTGCTCCAGCCCTCCAGCAGAATCGCCTAAGACCGCCGTCCACGCACATGTTTGTGCATCATGAGGACTAATCCTCTCTGTGCGTCTCTGCTTGACCAAGTCAAATACAACCTCACCGCCCTCCGAGAAAAGCTAAATGAGGATCAACCTCCTCTTGCATTTTGCTAGACAAATCTTGAAAGTACAGTCACCTCCGGTGCCGAGCAGCTTTTGCCGGCTGCAAAACCCTCAGCATTCTGAAGCACCAGTAGGAAGGTCCGGCGGCTGATCTGGGATTAACGACGGCGGTGACCCGTGTAGAGGGGATTTGCTTCTATCTCAAAAGGGACAAGAGATCACCTTGCAAACAATAAGCACCCAAAGTGTCCCTTGCTTCTTTCAAATGCTCTCTGGTAGGTTCGCTGCCCCGGATGCCCCTGAGAAAAACATCTGCATGAACTCCAGGATTGTGACGAGAGACAACAGGTCATATCCAACACTCAGAATAGTGGCTTTGAGCTTGGAATGCTTATTCAAGCCGTTACAAACCAAATTAAGCAACACGGACAAATATAACCTGGACTTCACTCCACACAAGCCATCAATGTTTATAATGTTTGCAGGACTGCTTTCAGGAAGAAGCAACCTAGGGTAAAACATGCCTTCTTCTTCTTCTTCTTCGCCTTCTTCTTCTCGTTCTTTTGTGCTTCAATATTTCTTAAACCGCACGTGCACAAAGCAAGATCTTCCAATGGCGCATTCAAACAGCTCCGCCATCCGTGCCACATGTCTTTTCCAAAGGAAGGACCAAGTGCAATTCTTTGAGCTGGGAACACCCGCGGCGCCTTGGGGGTCTGGCGTTTGCCATTGGCCAGCATCGACGCAAAGAAGACCTTGGCCTGGCTCCAGCGCTCTTGAGGCCTTGAGAAACCTCAGCCTGAGCCTTTCACCAATCCTGAGAGACACGAAATCGGGGGGGTCTTCAGAACAGTCCTGGCTCACGATCTCAGCCCGAAGACGACCCCACACGACGACGCTCCATTCGGTGTGGCCGAACACAGCCAGCCAACGTTTACCGGTGCTTCGGACGACCTTCGGTGACACGAAGCTCTGATGGCAACGGAACCCTTCGATGAAACAAACTAAAATCACAAAATAACCATACTATATAAATATACAAGTTATTCAGTGATAATCACTAAATATACCAGTTTTTATTGCATTTGTTATTTTAATGCTTTCACGGCTCGGGTAAACCAACAAGTTGCAACCTTGGTTCTCCCTTTTCTGGGCATCATCATTACCAGTGAAGCCCGGATTCCATCACCTTCTCTGGGCTATCCTCACAACCATGAAGCCCACCACTCCCACCTCTTCGTGTGAAGCGCCGACAGAAGCCAAAAGCTCAGCCCAGGAGTCCTCATCCAAATGCCTTAGTAATCTTACTGGCCATGTTGATCAATCAGGCATCCTACAAAGCCAGAATTCAATTCCTGGTATTTGCACAGGAGTACTTCTTGTAAACAATAGATACACTGTAAACTGTATAAGAAACGGTTTCTCTCCCTGGAATTAACATGGAAGTGGAAAACCATCTGTTTGTAGTGGAAAATGGTCTTCCAAGGGGCCATTCTCCACTTTCATGTTAGTTCCAGGGAGTGTTCTCATTGTTAATGCATCCCACACCCTCAAAGGGCAGGAGGTGCGAGTCCAACGACGCGAGCGACATCGAAACATGTGGCGACTCATCGATCGAGATGATGATGCAGCGACATGATGTGGAGGGTATTAAATCTGGTCAGTTATCTAATACCTTGGATTTCGGGCAGCTGGAAGGCGTGTCCGCACAAAGAGATCAAGCTCAAAAGTCCCCCAACCAACAAAACATATGTCATCATGGTTCTCATGATTTGCATGAGTGGTTATTCCAAATACCTTCGATGGAATTGAGAATGCTGTTGTGCTCTGTTGTGCTTCATGACTTTTGGCCCCGACCTCTTCTCCATCTGGTCGAAGGCTGCCGCCAAAGACCCATAGCGCAGTTGCAAATGGATTCCTCAGTTTCAACGCGAAACTTAATCCTTTTGTAGCAACTCCCACTCAGAAAGGCGATGCTTTTTCTAAAGGCTGTCTTGAGAAGATTTGAGAAGGATATATACTAGTAACAAGAAGCTACTAGGAACAAGTGCATCGCTACTAGTAACAAGTGCCTTACTAGTAGTAACAAGAAGCTACTAGGAGCAAAGGGCATTGCTTCACGGTCGGTCACTGTATTCGTCGCACCCAAACCCTTCAGCACCATGCTGTGCATCTCGTATGAAAGTCACCAGCCCCTCTGTGGGCGTTGCGGCTAAAGGAAAAGATTGCTTTTCCACCATGAATGGGATGATGTTCTCAGATTCGCTGGGCTATCTACTTGGGAGGCTCTCAAACACTTCTGCAGTGTGGATAGGCATTAGGCATGTTTGCTGAAAACCGGAAAATTGCTGGAAGAACACTTCTCTGTATTTTCAGATGTGTATTCAACCAATATGTTGTATCATGTTGTATCCATTTGCTATTTCTTCACATGAAAAATCATATAAATATACTTCGACTCTGTCTCTCTCTCTCTCTCTCTGATGGCTCTGGTTGCTGCTATGTCATGTTTGACCCTCATATCGTCCTTCCAAGGTGCTCAAGGTGTTGAGATCGCGTATGTCGCATGCGAAACTCATGGCATGCGAGAATTCGCCCTTGTGCAGTTCCAGCTCCTCACACTCCTGCAGTGTGACCGGACTGCTCTGGCACGGTCCGAACTCACAGTATTGGGGAAGACTAGCTGACTAGCTTTGACCACGCAGTTTCCAGCTGACCTTCCCCACCGGGTCACCTGACTAATGAAGGGTGCTTGACCGTGACCTCAACACAGTTTCGATGCTGCTGCACAATACTGGAGCCTGGAGGATGTCAATTAGTCTATTGAGGCAGTTCCCAGAACCTCCCTAGGTTCCACATCGCTGTGTCTGAAGAGGAACATTTTATGAAACTGATGAAACATGATAAGCCAATGGTTTTTTACAGTAAATGTCTTTGATGAGTCTTCTCGTTTTAGTAGAGCTAAGCTAAAACCGATCGCCAATGAGTTCAACGGCCTCCTTCCCCAAGAGTTGCAGCATCTTTTGCCACACCATCCTGGTGAAGGGCAATACGCTCTGGCACATGACTGAAGGGCTCTTACAGGACTTCACTGGTTTCACACCATGGACCCATTATGTATAGTATATATTTCATGTATACAGTGTAGATATTCTAGACATATATCATATATCAATTATAGTCACACATGCACACACCCCCGCACCTGATTTAAATGAGGTCCTTGTGTTGGTCTGATCGAAGCTAATCTGCTCGGCCATATCACAGAACTGCTCATAGCCCAAGAGGCTTATCCTTGAAGCCAGGGCGTGTGGCAACATCTGCATGCTTTGTGCATCTGTCCGAAAACGTCATCGAGTGCATCATCCGAGTGGATCTTCCTTGTCATCATCGGTTCCCCCCATCTTTCTCCACCTTTGCCTTCAAGTGTGACGCGTGCAAAAAACATACTGTAATTCAGTGCACCCATTGCAAATGTGCAGGGCAGACTTGACACATCGAGAGCCACAGAAGCTTCAATCAAGCATCGGGCTGACCACTGTGTTGTTGTAGGCCTGTTGTTGTAGGCACAAGCTTCGCTTAAACAACCATCCGTTTGACGGCTGCTGAGAATGGTTCAAGAATGTTCCCCAAAAAATAAGAACAGAACTGGGGACTGTGGAGCATATAATATTAGGAGAAACAAAAACAGTGTACTAACACAGTCCAGCTCTCAAAAAGAAAGGGTAGGTGAAGTGACAAATGACTAGAAACTTGAAGTGACAAATGACTAGAAACTGAAAATTAGTGAATGTCTTGAATCTTGTATTCCCCATTCTTCCATGTTTCCCTTCATACCCAGGCCTCAACATGACATCACAGAAGTCAAAAGCCTCCAAGCAACTCATCTATAAGTCGTAAGCTTTCAATTGCAACTCGACATCAATACTGATTTGGACCCCACGAAAGAATTTCAGAAGCGCCAAAGCTCTTCATCTATCACCCCAAACGTATCCTTCAGCCTCCTCAGGGCCGCAAAAGCGTTTCAGCAACTTCCGCCGGAAGCGGCGCAAGCGCCGCACGGTGGCGTCCGCCAGCCAGGTGCTCGACTCGCCACCTGCGGCCTGGCGGTCCAAAAGTAACATCCCTTTTCACATATGTATTGGACACCATGCCACTATCTATATCTGGGGACCACGACACTAGTGTAGTTGGTTCTTCTTCCGCATGGTTGAGTCCATCAATACACGACATCCTCATGGAAGTGGATGGTATGACCATCCATGGCGCCGGAGTGACACGGCCGTTCCTTCGTTACACACGCGTTGGCCATGTGCTTTCTCCTCCCGCGGCGACCCGGTCCCAAACGGACCCGTCCTGCCGAAACCGGCCCGATGCCCCGGACGTTCGCCCTCGAGCGAAGGCGTTGGTTTTGGGGTTCAGCCGACGGAGCCCCTGAGTGACGATGGCGATGGCCTTCCAGCTAGAAGCGCTGAGGTCCGTCTGTCCCAGGCCACTGGTTTCGTCGTCTTCGCCGAGTTTTCTCCGGCGCCTCTGTTTCGGTGGCCTCAGTGTACTCGGAGACGTCCTCCTCCAAGTATCGTCGGGGAAGACCTGGCCGCGAGAGGGTGGTCAATGCGTCTGGGATGATTGGAGCATGTTGGAGCACTTGTCCCGACTCCGCTCGGCTCACTCCAAGTGAGTTGGACTATACTAATTCAATAAATTATAGTATATCATATACCTATGCGTGAATTGTTCTACCTGACCTGATGTCATCTTTTTTGAGGGGAAGATCTGATCACCTGTTTCCCTGTTTCCAGAATGCCAAACAGCATTCGTCGGGTCTACGGAGTCTACGTCTTTCCGTGAGTTCGCGCACGCGTCCCGCGCGCCTCGGAAGCGCACGCCATCGTGGGTCAGCACGCAATCCTCGGGCCCCCACGACGCGGCCCATGGCCATGCGAGAAATCACCGGATCAATGAACATGTTGAAGAGGAAACGACAATTGGCGCCAACATCCAGTGGTGGCTCAACTTTTCAAGTCTTAATGTGATATGGAATCAGTGATGTGAACCACTTCCCCATCCTCGACATCAAGTGGATTCAATTTTGATATGGCATCCAACAAAGCCGAGTCACCAAACCCCGAGCTCTGGCCTGCACCAAATCGATCGACGGATATGTAAATAAGGCCTATATAGGCCAATGGATTATGGAGATGCATCCACTTTGTTTGCCAAACCTCAGTGGTGACCTGCAAATGTCGACCTGATATGTGAGCCAATAAGAAGCATTGGCCTACTGGGTAGTCACTTGCAGTAGGACTCATACATCTCAAGAATTCATCTGGAATTATCTGGTGGAAATGGATGGCGCGGCCTCCGTCGTTTGGTGAACCTACATCCATCCATATACATCCCCCAATCACCCGCACCTGTGAGCGCCTCCGGCTGCGACGGAGGCTGCACTGCAGGGCAATGGCTGTGGGACTCCAGGCTGTGCGATGCACTCGCTCAGAAGCGTCCTCCAGCTCCTGGAGTGGTGTGCTAACGGAAACCGGTTTTGGAGCAAAGTGTGAAACAATTGTATAAAGCATATCCTATCCACCAACGTAGTTGGTCTTGTATGTGAACTGGAATGGACTGGAGGTCGTTCGACGTCCAGGGGCCATGGATCCGGTCAGAGGTCAAGGCTGCACCTAAAAGGAACCTAGTAATCTGGAACCAAAAAGTCATTCAGAAAAGCTTTATATAAAATCTTTTATTAAACTCGTATCAAAAATTCAAAAAACTTCCAGATCGAAGGGTCTTCCTTTTCCCCTACGAAAACATTTATTAGAATACTGATTCTTCATTAGACTAACAAAAACTACCCCCCCAAAATCGACCATGTTGGTAGTTTAGTAGCGGTTTGAAAGGGCGGTAATTTAAAAACACACATAATTATAAGCCGAATTTAGGGCTTCGGACGTTGTGTTCTTTTAATTGGGGAGTGTTTATTAATAGACTCGGGATTAGCCATGGCCTCCAACCGAGCAGAGCGATGCCCTCCAACCCAGCGATGGCCTCCGAATACCGGTGTTGGGGCTTATCTGTAAGGTCTCGAGCAGTGCCAAAATGTGAAACTCCTAAGGTGCCAAGGTCTCGAGCCTCCAAGTTGATGCGGAACGTATGTCTCAGGAACCCCCAACATCTGCTTGGTGACCTTGTCACAACCGTGGGTGTTCGGTGGACCTCCCACCGAAGCGATGGAGACGGTGTTCGGTGGCCTCAAGCTGGAAGTTCTTCAACCTCCTGCTTAAGCATCTTTCGGCCTCGAGACGGCGGAGTGACTGGTGACGCCACGCTGAGCCCGAAATAATTAGAGGACCAAGGTCTTGGAGGCACAGGTCTTCAGTGAACCATCCCTTCCCGGTCCCTTCCCAGTGCCTTCCGGCCTTGGAAAAAAGCGACTTGAAGCAACCAAATCCAAACAGCCATCGGCCACACGCCTAAAAGCCTTGAAACTGCTTCACTGGGAATGGGCAACGCATGGATGGCCCACCTATCTAACCACACTCACCTGCTAAGGAATCCAAGACTTCCGAATTTCAGAGGTCCGAATTCCAATTCTTGGTGCTTCAGGAGTTTGTTGGATCCGACCATCTGGACCCCAACCTCCATCCGACGGACGCGGACCTCCCGGTGACGCTCCAGGCCAGGCGCCGATTTGCTCAAGGCCTTCGAAGTCCGTTCGGTGAGCTTCCTCCGAAGATGTCGCCTCGCGCCGTCCCTGGGGCGACGGGTGCGTTCCGGTCCGGGGGGAAGGCCGGGGCCTGGAGCAAACCGAAGGCGATCCTCTTGGACCGTGGTCTGCCCAGCAGAAGGCTCCACCAAAAGTTGTGTGCCACCATCTGCGAACATCTATTATATACTTGCAAGCTACAACTTCAACAAACCAAGGATGAGATGCATCCAATCAACCGCATGTCCAGGCAGCCAGTTGCGGCTGTTGTTTTGCTCCGTGCTTCTGTGCAGCAAAGCAACACTGGCGGGCTGTAGCCCCACATCTCTTCTTCTCGGGTCTTGCCTACATAAATCACATCAAGAACGCATGCAGAACCAGGAGGCACGAACGTTCCCCAGCTGCGCCCCACGGCCGGCTCGCCGGCTAGCCTTATGCATGTAGAGATGACAAACTACAAGTGAGGCACCTACTTAGATTGATGGGATTGGTTGATTGCACTGGACAAATCCATCAATCAAAAGGTGCATACAGTGCATACGAAGCTTGTAAACTTCCCCCTCAAGTTTCCAATCTCAACCACGCCTTTATGGAACTGCTTCTGAAGAGTTTTCAAGGCAGCTCGATATGATGCATCTTCAATCCTCACACACACAGATCAGGATGGGCAACGGGAAGGCAAGTAGCATCAAGTAGCTGCGTGCGGCCGCAACCGGTGACGCTTGCTGATGGCTCCAAGTCGTTTCTTCAAGTGGGTCCACGGACGGTCGTCCAAGGTCCTCCTGATATTGCACTGCTTGGTTGTTTTTGTTGGGGGGTGACGGAGTCCATGGAAGATCCCGTGACAGTTCGTTACTTCCGACCGGTGGTGTGGCATCTTCCCGCCACGGCGCCAATCCACCGGCTCCAGCCAGGGCTGCACACTCCTCCCACGTTCAAGGGACGATCGAGCCACAAGGCCGTGATCTTCGATGATCTTTTCAGAGATGGCTCGAGAAGCCTGACATGATCAACTGAACTGAATATTATTCAAACTCAATATTATAATAGCGTTGAACAAGTGGTTTTATTTCTTCAGGCGGGTTGCCGATCCGCTGCTCCTCCTGCGAGCCAAGTTGAAGACCTTGATCTCCGCAGACACCTCGCTTTCCACATCCTCGGCCTGGTGGGATCGGGTGCGAAGCTGTGGAGGATTTGCGGATGAAACATGCAAGCAAGAAAAACATAGAAAAACAACTGGACTCTACCAGGCACCCCCAGCGTAGTACTTGACTATGTGTGAGGTGACCCAAGTCAACACCATGCTCAGTGGAAAGAAATACCCTCACTGCCTGCAAGAATCGAAGGTAAAGCAAAACATTCTCACACTGCTTTTACATAAGGTTTTTTCTTGATCCCTTAAGGTTCACCTTCTAGTTGCAGGTTTACCTTCAGTTGACCTTCTATTTCACACACTGTTGGAGATCCCCTAAGGTTTCGACCTCCACTTTCGATCCCACCAGCTCTCTGGTCTTTGTCCGCGTACGGCCTGCCGTCCTTGGAGAACGGCCAAGTTTCGGATGGGGAGGCAGTTCACTAGAGTAACTTGTGTAGCTGGTCCCAATCATGAACTAAACAGAAACATACTAGTATGCATATTAGTAATATTGGTATGCACATGTATGAAGGTCCATGCATCACAGGTGCAAACGGCCCCAAAACGACCCCAAACGTCCCCCAATTCCACCCTGCAGGTGCACTCGTTCGTGGCTGAACTGGCGCCCCCCGAAACAGTGCTTCCGGTGACCGCCCGTAAAGGGCTGCAGTTGGCCGACAAAATGGAACCCAGTTATCTGAGTCCGTGACCCTTGATACATCTGAGTCCATGCCCTACGGAGATCCCTTCTGTGTTGCTAAATCATGGCATGTTTGTCTTTCTTTGGGGGAGCTGATCATTGATGGTGATCAGATGTGCAAACGGCGGCAGCAGTCTAAAAATGGTTCCCAAGCTTTGAGAGGTGCAACTCCTTTGCAAAAAGCCGTCTGCACCGTTTTCTCACTGCAGCATATTGCAGGTCTGCGCAGGTCGAATCCCTTACTCTGCACCAACCTCTTGGGTTTCAGGAGGGCTCCCCTTGGGTTTTCCTTTCTTCTCTTCAATCATTAGCCTTGACCCCTTCATCCACCCATCCACTGCTCTTCTTCTCCGGTCTCAGGCAGGGCGCAGCCAACTGGGTAGCTCATGCTCCCGGTGACTTTCCACGGGCTCGGGTACATCTATGACATCGTCAGGCTGGAAGACCACCGCAGATTTCTGGCAGCTGACCACCGGCCGAAACTAAATTGTGGGAGCTTAAGGATCGACTCATCTATTGGTTGATCTAGCGGGATGATGGATGGTCACCCTACCCAAGGGCCAAAAGTCACCTATAGGTTATAGGACCTAAAAAACCAGTGACAAGCGAACAATTCTCCATCATCCCACTACAAGTGAGGTTAAGACTTACTACGGAGCTACTGCTGCATGATTATGATGTTATAGAGATCCAGTCTTACGGCGTTCATCAGGCTCAGTGTAGGAAACTAAGCCATGGGTGCGCAATGGGTGTGCATGACCACATGGAAAAGAAACGAAGCCCTAACCAACCAAAAAGAGCCACAACAAATGCGGGGCTTTTGTCCCATAAAGCCACAAGTGACTTGTTGGGTCGGTGGGTCTTATGGGAACACTCAGGATCCCGTTACTCTTACCACGTAATGACCCACCAAGCAACCAAATAACAAACGAAGCACGTGAACCAAGATTTGTTCTCTCCGCACCTGTGTGAAATCGGACTCAACCGACCGCCCCTGCATTCCAAGTGGCTTGCCGACTCTGCGTGGCGCTCGCGGTCGGAATTCCTTCGAAGAACGACACAGCGCTTCGCACGCGGACGGTCGACCCGGTCAGGGTTCGGTGGGTGCGGGGAGAGGCAGTGCTATGGACTGGACCTTGTCTGCCATTGAATTTAGAGTTGAAATCTGCTGCCGGAGCAATTCCTGCACGAAACAATCATGACTTGGACTTGCAAAGGGCTGCTCGTTGTCCCCCCCATGTTCAACCCCGCCCCATGCATGTTTACATGGTTCAATCCCCCTTTGACCCCGTGCTCTGATCTTGATGTTGAGGATGTTCAACATCAAATACATCCTGGAGCTGCAAAAGATCTAACCTTTGAGTCTTCCAGGGTTTGGAATCAGAAATCTGGATGTACCACTGGAGATCACTGAAGTTTGGCCGAGCCCAAGCAGCTGCAGAACACATGGTTCTCCAACGGAAATGTCTGTTTTTCATTGTTTTTTCGCTACCTCAAGGTACCAGCAAATCTGTGGATGTATGCAATTCCACTCTCAACTACCATCGATTCCTCTTGATCCGCAGGTTCTTCAGTTTATCCATGCAGGACAACTTCTGACCTGGTTGTGCTTCAGCCCATGAGCCCCCCCTAACCACAAAAATATCCTAAAGGCATTGGTGTGTCGCTTGGTATGGTGCCTCCTTCATCACTGGGTGTGTGATCCAAAAATCCATCATAAACCTGGATCATCGCCAATTCTTCTACATCGACTTCTCTCCGGGAGGCGGTCAAAACCGAGAGCCGAGTGACCCGGTGGTCGTCGGGCCGGCGTGGAGAAGCCGCGGGAGGACAACGCCTGAGAAACCTCTGGGAGGTCCTCCAGGGTGAGGCCCGCCTGAGGCGGAACTCGGATCTGGTGGGAAACGACACCGAGTCCCGGTCCTCTCGGCGTGCTGATATAAGGACTTCCACCTGAGAACTTGTTGGTGGAAGAAAACCACTTATAAATTGGGGGGTGGGAAGGGCGTCTCAGCGACAGGAACACCACTTGACAAACGGCTGAAACATGTTAATCTTTGGATTTGTTTGGTTTTGCTAGGTAGGTAGCTCCTTCTGGAGTTTTGTTGTATGCATAGGCATAAGCGTACTAATGTATCATGGTTTCCTCCTTGGCATGAGCAGCTTGCAATGACTGAGGTGGAGATGCACTTGAAACAAGCTGGCAAAAGCCTGACTGATAGCCCACGGCTTCCACGGTGGGTTCCTTATGGTGTTTGAAATTTATGTTGGTGTGCCATGATGATCCCTCCTGGGCACAAAGAGAAGTGGAGATAACTCAACACAATGCTACAAACAAGCCAAACACCAAACACAGAACCCACAGAAGCCAAAAGCCACAAAAACAAAGGTTAAAACAACAAACAAAAGAACTTACCCTTCCTTGATTCATTGATACTAAATATATATATACACATCATCCCTTCGCAATACTCCATGAAGGCCATATTGCGAGAACTGGAGGTTCCCTCAGCAGTGCTGAAACCCCAACGCTGAGCTCACCTGTGCCGGCCAATCCACGGACGTTGGTCCGATCTGATCCACCGCGCCTGTGTTGGAGCTGCCTCCTCCTCCTCCTCCTCCAGGTTTTGGGGAAGGGTGTTCTGCTTCTGCCTAAGCGAAGGGTTCTCGGAGCATCGACAAGACCAGATGGGTTCTCTGTTGCGCTCCAGAGCTCAAACGGACCAAACGCACCCAGACCAGGATCCCCAAATGAGACCCAGCAAACGCTCAACTAAATTCGAGCCATATGGTTGTCATTGAGGCTGAACAATGCAATGTAGCCGGGAAACAGCAAACTCTAACTAATGGTGTCATCTCCTGCTTCCACGACCTGTTTGTACGTTTGGGGTATTGAAGCATGTGGTTTTATCGCACCACCTGCCGTGTCGGAAGCACTGGAGTACGCTGTAAGCCCAAAAACATCTGCGTCTTCAGAACATCATGCTTAATGCTTGCTTGAAATCTCACCTGAACAATACACATATCTGCTACAGTGACCAATCACATCCAATCACAGTGGATTTGCAGCATCCACTCTTGACAGCCGTCAAGCATTGTCAAACTGATCCTAATCTCCATATCAGACCATACAAGACCATATATTAGATCCAAAAATAACCCTGAAAAAACGTCAAGGCACAAAAGCTTGGCCATGTGAGCTTCTCCCAGCCGCACCGAGGTCAATCCTTCTTCTTCGTCCTTCTCCGGTACATCAATGTGATGACTCACCTGGGCAAAGTGAAGGCAATGCCTGACACAAGCAGAACTTGAGAATCAGATCACTACACAAGAAACTGACCCCAGAGACTGTCCAAACATTCCGAGAAGGACTTGGTGCAAGTATAACGCGAGAGATCATTGGGCCAGCTGTGTCCTTCTTACATCTTGCAGCAACTGCTGACACCTCCTAGGATGGAAAGGGGTGAATGGTCCTGCGCTCTTTTCAGTCAAACGGAGGGTTTGGTGTTCAAATCGGACTGGGGCTCTGCCCAGATCGCGGCTGCCTCTTAACAGGTAATCACATAAGCCAAATGTCTGCAACATGTTTTTTCCTGTGTCTCAATCTCTTTGAGGCGGGGGGCTCAGAATCGAAGAATGAGCGTTTTGGGTGACAAAAGAGGCTGTCCCCTCACATTGCCTGCAAGTGATGTGTCTTCTAGATCAGTTTTGCAAAGACCTCAACTAATGCAAATTGCCTCCGGGTAGGTGTCATGGCGGCTTGGTCGTACGCTCAACATTGAGATGTGCGAAACGTGCTTCTTCGGATTGATCGGCTAAGCGGCGTGAACGTGTCATCAAGTCCGTCTTGGCTTCTGGGCTTCTGGATGTGGAGAAACTGCTCTCCCAAACAACAGTTCTTCAGCTGAAAGAACAATCATGCAATATAAAACGGCAAGCAAGTGGTGTTGAGACGGCAAGCAGCGTTTCTGCCACGTAAACCTCCCTTCCTCCAGCCCATCCCACCTCCACGACAGCAACTCCTCGTCCCACTCTGCCAAGCATCGTCCACCTCTGCGGTTGGAAGTTCCTCCTTCATCTGCTCGAAGGTTTCTCGCAAGATCTGCTGCAATCCTGGGAGAACACCAGAAACAGCTCTCCCCCGGATGGGACTTGGCTTGGTTTCTGCTGCCCGCAGAGAGCGGGCAGTGTTGACCCAATTGAGGTGGTGAACCAACAAATTCAGCTTTCACTATAATCAATCTATTCTGACAGTTGACCACCGCACTATCAGGTCAGAAGGCTGGCCGAACCTAATCCTCCAAGGGTCAATTCAAACATATTCTGCTGTGGCCCAAACAGGAAGTTTGCTCTTCCAAAACCCATTTGGGAAGAGGAGAATCTCGGTCTCTCTCGTTTTCCCCACGTTTTCCGCCCAGGATCGCTGTGACCATTGATCTTTGTTGATGAAACGATCCGCTTGGACAAAGGCATCCAGCACCATGTCTCCAAACCTGGACATGGGAGCCAGGTTTGGAGGCGTTCTACATCAGCATCTAGCTCTTGCTGATGACGATAAAAGCCGTTGATATCTTCAAAGGCCCAAAGGAATGTCAAGGGTTGGATATGTCACCATCACTGGAAGGGAAGTCTAACAGTGGGCAACCTTGATGTTCACACACTCGCATTCTGAGTTGATCGTGCTAGTGGAGCGCTCCACTCCAGGTAAAGAAGGCTTGGAAGTGAGCTCCAGCGCAAGGGTCAATAATTGGTCAAAAGTTCTTGCATCATTTCATTATCCAAATTGCACATAATGATTATATATATCAATATAGCTGCGAACGGTCGTACGGTGAATATCTTTTCACAATGCGTCTCTACATCTGCATATAATCCTTATGGAAAGAACCTGTTCCAAATAAATGGAGCGACGAGTAACAAGAAGCTACGAACGGGGCTCCTGGCATCGCTACGAACGGAGCAGTCGGCCAACCGGCCAACCGGAGCGACACGGCGAAGCAGCACAACTGACCAGGAAAATCCCATGGGACCCCTGTGGTTTTGTGGAAAGCATGGGAAAGCATGCCAGAACCATGTTCCCCAACAGCAACACTTGCGTGCTATCTTCGGACTTCTATGCCACTTACTGGGTCCATCTGCTTTCCATCCTACCCCCCATCCACCTGGTGATGGATGCAACCAAAACCGATAGTTTCTTCGCTCTGAGGGACGTGTCTTTCATCTCCTGGAGCCAGGCATCGTGGCGTTCACGCCACATGGATTCCATGCCCGCTCCACGGCGTAGCCTCTTCGATTGCGGCACGGCGCGGCACGAAGCCAACGGCGGTGTTTAGGGTTTAGGGTCGTGGGCTCCCACGGCATCCCACGGCAGAGGCGGGAAACGAAGACCACGTTACCCACTACTCACTCTCTATTTGCCGGACATCGGGATCACCAACTTCTCCGATTCTCTTCCAAAGGAATTCTTTGCCAAATGGTTGTGTGGCCAATCGTGCCACCCAGGAGCTTGGTGGTCATATAGTCGACTTCATCATTCCATCGCTCCTCAGTGAAGTCGACAGCGGACACTGAAGATGCTCAATCACCGTTTCAGATCCTCACTGTTTCAGAACTGAAGATGTCAAGAGTATTCAAGAGTCGAGTACAAATTCTGTTGTTTGTAATTTAAACCGGGTCGAGAGCAAATTATGATTAAATATTTCCATAATACTGTCCATAATGCATGTGAAAAATGAATACAAACATAATAATGTCATTGTGCTCTACAATAATCAATCCATTTGCTTCCGTATGTTGTGTCTTTTTTACTTTTGACTGCACCGACCAGCACGAGATGTGCACCGACCAGCACGTATCTGTCTTCACCTCAACGAAATGCGGGACACCTTCCTGCTTGAATTTGAACAACCATTCAAAGGCATCCAAAGGCTAAATATGTGGTTGACCGATGCGATACAAGTGGGCTTCTCATATGGAAGCAGGTCCATCTGCCCAAAGTGACTGGTCCATAAGCATGCATGTTAGACAATCCGCAGGAGCGCACTTTTTGCAATAGTCAATATTAACGTTCCGTGTGCTTTTCCAATCAACATCGCCCAACGAATGAAGTGACATGAACAAGCAACCCCATGCACTCCCCAAACTCTTCTCCACTCCCCACGCAGCTGCCCATTGAGTCAAATCACCTGCTGCTCTTTGGCCGACTGAATGCGGTGCATGGTCTTGATGCCATGTTTCGACAGCGTCAACTTCAAGAAGCTCTGCAAATCCCCACCTCGTCTCGTCTCCGATGGCGGTCCATCGTCCGGATCGTCCGTCCGGATCGTCCAGCTCGGCGGACCGGCCTCTGGGAGTCGACGGGTTAGTCCACTACCAGCACCGAACCCAACAGGTCTCCGATGGCTGGAGGCTTGGGAAGGGCCCTAACAGGTTTCAATTGGTGACCTGTTGGAGCTGGTATGGGATATCTGTCTGACCAAAGAGGACAACGAACGTACTCCCAAGGCTCGAAAACGCGTGCGGCCCGATCTCATGCATGGAAAGGTGCCCCCCTTCTGCACATCCCAAAGCCTCGACCCAACGGTCCCAGCCGTCTTCCCAGCTGCGCTTGGAGTCCAAGATCTTCCGAGTCATTTGCTGATTCCGGTTGGCCTCAATGAGGGACCTCGAGCGGAAGCTACTATATATATATATATATGAGGGACGGTCAAAACTCCTTATTCTTCTTCAGCTAAAAAATGGACGTCATCGGTTTTGAGGTGGACCTTATCGTTTTACAGCGTTTTGAGTTCGTCGCATACTTATGACCATATACAGCGCTGGGGTTATCGGTTTTGAGGTGGACCTTATCGTTTTGCAGGGTTTTGTGCACAAACCTACCCCTCTTTACTAAAGTGGTCTTCGCATGTTTTGACAATGGCTCATATATATATACCGCGTGGACAGCTGGAGCAAGGGCTGGTGGCTTGGGACTTCATCGGGTTTTCACGTGCCAACGGTGCCAAAGATCAATGTCTACTAAGTCTACTAGCCATTGAGCAATGGAGAAGGATTCTGAGGAGTTCATCAGTTCATCTGGTGAGTGAGTTGTGGAATTGCACACAGTCGGTGTTTATAGGTTTCTGATCCAGATCTGCAAATGATGTGGTGTTCATCTTCCTCTGAACTTGGGTGGGGCTACTGCCAACATGAGGGTGTGCGAGACTGTGTGCGAGATGTGTCCGGAAACAAATCTGATGCAGCACACGAGGAGCTATGGATCTTATGATCCGACCTGTTCATCTATCCTCAAGTCTATGGATCTTGTGCCTGTCGAGAGTGCGGAATCTGGATTCATGGGTCCATGTAATTTTCGATTGGACCGCTCATGTCTTGTGAATGGCTCTGGGCCACCATGAAATCCGATGATTGCCATCAACAGTACGGAATTAATTCAAGGTCTAGCCTGGCATCATTATGTCTCTGGCATACCGAGCAAGCATCCTTCTATATAGTTATGTATGTGATACCCATTTAATACCCTTGTAGCTATAGGGGAGAAGTTAATTGCCTCTGGATCCTCTTCGAGAATCTTGTTTCCCCATATGATATGCTATATCACTTGCACACAATTCACCGGCACCATCAATGCCGCACTGCCAACCAACCCCTACGAAATCGCTCCAACATCAACCTTTGAGGAGCCCTGGCCCCAACCGTTTGACGGTACCGCCCCACTGGGGCATGAAATGAGTGTTCGGCTGCTGTCGAAGTACGTATTGAACGACTAGTTGCTGTAAAAGGAATCCCCCCCAAAGTGACCATCTACAATCAGCCACCAAGCAAGCACATTGGTCCCCCTGCAGGAAGCGGTGGAGTAGCATTTAGTTCACAACTGGAGCCTTAACGCTCACTGCGATCATGGGGCTTCTTGAACAACATGGCCGCAGATCGATCTGTCGCAGTGCGCAAGCGACGCTGCATGGTTGTTGTGAAGATCTTGTTGAACCTTAGATGCACCGTGCGCCTCGATCATCGAAAGGAACAATAACCGGGAAGAAAGGGTCTTCCATGGTCTTCCATTAGCAGCAAGTCTTGCAAATGCTCCTGTGCACTTGTTGCGGAACAGTTGGGACCCACTGCAAGCATCTCTGCTGGACTCCACGGAGTTGTGCAGATCCATCTCTTGCTGGATCTATCAAACGTACATGACGACATCCCTAGACTCATAGATTCTATGGATCACCCTGGATGCGAAACAGAACACCAGATTCGACTGCTGGACATACTGTGCCATGCAGGCTGAGGTGATTATAGGGATACATAGGGTGATCCCAACATGTCCTTCTGCTCTTGGTGACAGGAGTTCTCAGCACAGTCACAGTCAATCTGAGCTCCAGACTGAGCTTTGCGGTCACCTCGCTTCAGAGTCCCCCTCTTGTCATCCTTCTGCCTATAGGTAGCCGCTGGCAGCAAGCAGTTGACAGCAAGAAAACAACAACTAAAGTCACAGGTGTTTCAGCAAAGCATCGTGCCTCCTTGCTGCTCCTGTTTCGTCCTCCTCGCTTCCTTCCGAGGTCGCTAGCTCGACTCCCACCGTGCTGGTGAGGTGTGATAAGTTAGAATAGATAGATCTCCGTGGGCTAGTAGAAACCTGTGGTTAGACCTGAACAAAGTAGGCATATACTCATACACATCCTCACGTGGACAGGTGTCCTGATATTGTTAGTTTTTCAACGCTTGTCTGGCCCAGCCCTTTATTACGGGGACTCGTGTGCTGCAGCTGAGCCAGCTTCTGAGTGGGTCATGCACAAACAAAGCAGCCACACAGTCAAGGGAACACTAAACAAGCTGCACCGTGACCAGCAATTCTCAATATTTTCCAACACATGTCGTGAAAACAGGAACCAAACACACATCCAGCAAAAAAAGGATAAACAAATAGGTCATTCTTTGCAAGCTTGTCCAACTCTTTAAGTGAATTAAACAGTTTCTCAGAAATTCCTCAAGAACTACCTTCCCCCCCAGGGACGCTAAGCTCTTCAAATGGGTTTTTGGTGTGAGCTTGTGTCCTGTCCTGACATCTCTCCTTCAGCACCCTTATCATTGAAAAAGGCCAGGGGCCCCACAGGCCCTGTTGCTGACCTGCTTGGGACACAGCCGGCAAGGGTTCAAACAAACAAGTTTGAAGCATTTCTGATGGCCAAGGGTTCAAATTCTCAAGACAATTTGTTCATACTTTGCTTTGCTATGATCTGCAAGGAATGCGTCGCACGGTAGTATGACCAGCGGGCCTTTGTTTTGCCGCGTCTTGTGGCACGTTCCCTCTCGGCCCTGTCCTTGGCAGCAATCTCGGCCCCCACAGGTGTTCAACCACCTCCGCTCAAATTTTACTGCTTACACCTCCAAACCTGCACACCGAACCTGCGTGTGGCACACCCCATGGTTTTCTCTCAGAATCACCCTTCAAGAAATACACAGTACACATCACCTATCACCACATTGTTAGATTGTCCAACATTCCATAAACACACACATGCAGCGCCACAGAACACAATGACATGCCACATCTGTGGCGCACAACAACGATAAAAAACCGAGCATCTGTGGCGCACCCCGCTCTGGCACCATAGACTCCGTCTTACCCAAAGCAACTGCTGTCGAAGCCCGGGCCAGCCAGGAGGATCGCGGCCTCAGGGTTTTCTCCAGCTGACGATGAGAAGCAGAATCGTTGGGCACTTTCCTGGATATGCATTTGAACCGGACAAGGGCACCAAACTCACCCAGTGAGTATTGGCTTCTGCGGGACGTTTTCCACGGCAACATGTCTTGCCGTCTAGCCCAAAGCGGGGAGCCCTTCGACAATCCCACGCATGGGCGGGTTGCCTTTTTAACACCACCTCCTTTCTGACCCGGCTCCAATCTCGACAGGGTTTACAGGGCCTGTGGGCTCGTGTGCGTTTCAAGAAAACAATTGCATCCAGTGGGATAGTGTCGGGATCAACCAGGGAAAGTGAGAAATGTCTGCTCGAGCCCGCAATCTGCAGTCAGACGACCTGTACGTGCCAGTCATCAGCTACACCAATTTGCAAAATCGAAAGAGTCAACATTCAAACAACCACAAATAACCACAAACTGTATGCAATCGAGTGTCTTCTGTTGACCATCTTGTTCACGATCCGGCTTGCGCACAGAAAGACGGCCTGCATTGCCTGCATTCTTCTTACTCCACGGCTCTGGCTGTGGGTTCTGGGGATCCTGTACATGTTGAAGGGTGGTGTACTGGCTCTTCCACAACAAACAGCAATCTACATATCTTTGAACCATTCGATTGCCTTCTCCACGCCCCCCGGACTCCCCAACTTCAAAGTTGTGTGACATCTTTCCATGCTGAGGCTTTCAAGAAAAGCAGCAGCATTTTGGTTTAAGTTGCGGGGAAGTACATGCCAACATTGCTGTTTGGGGTTCAAGGGGGCTTGTTTGCCAGACTTGGACATGTCATGGACATGTGATGGGATGGCATGGATGGCTGTCTTTTGGAAGAACCCGGTATGATGCCCAGACCAGGGGAGAAAATTTGATCAGCTATAGCAGCTATAGCTATAACCAAGCCCTTCTATTCACTTCAACTCATCCTGGCCTGCATTGCCTGCCACCGGCGGGCGCTGCATGGCCTTGACGTCCGACTGGGGAGCATCCTGGTAGAGTAGGTTTCGGAGACCTGATTGGTCTCCTATCAATACAGTAATCGATTAACACCTTCAATCCACAGTGGATCAATGAGTTCTCGCTTGTTGGAAACTATTTGCAAACATTTACAGCTGTGCGGCAGCCATCAAGGTGCAATGTGTTTCCGTATGTGCCTCTGTTGTACCGTCTTTCAATTTCTTAATATCTGCCTTCATCTCCTGGCAAACACAATAACAAAGCGCACCGTCAAAACAAGCCACCACTGAAATGAGGTAAGGCCCTCATTGCTTTAATGACAGTTCTCTTTTCCCTCCATTTCTTCCTACCAGTTGGTGCTACGAGCTTTAAACGTTGACAGCAGTCAGGAATGGTTCCGAACCACCACGTCACCAGCAACCACACCAGCCCCGCCGTCAAACTGTAATGAAATGTAATGAAATGCACATCCATTAAATCAAGTTCACGGATTCTGTTTAGAAGGAACTTGGCAAGCCCAAAGCATCTCAACTTGATCTCATGTCCTTGGTCCTGTCCCTTGCATCCTTCTTCTTCCGCTTGGGACTTGACACGGTCTCCACTGGCGCGGAGGGCGGTGCCACCGCCCCCCCGGCTTCACCAGCGGGCTCGAGAGCGCCAGGGAGAGAAGCTCCTGGATGGACCAAGCGGGCCATGGGGCCAGGGCCGCCACCCAATGGTGGAAAGAAAAGCAAGCAAGCTGATATATGTGTGCCGGACATTGCCAGACTATATGATTGCCATTTGCTTTGGAAGTTGATCTGTTTCAGGTTTGGTTTCTGATTGGGCTCTCTAGCCAGGTACGGCTCGTGAAATGGCCAAAGCCCCTTGTGAAGCTAGCAGGAGGTATTTCTAAAGTGCTAGTGGCTCAGAAACCGAGAGCCATACTTAGCCTGCCACTGGAGTTAACTTAACATGTTCTGGTGATGAAGGCAACTCTTACCAATTAAGGCAAGCTGATATTGGAAGCTTTCTTGGATAATGAATGATAATGATTGAATCCTCCAAGCGGTGAAAAGAAACACAGGAGCATGTCCACTGAATCACACCAAGTTCAGTGATAGAACCAAAATGAACCAAATCTTTACATTCCAGCAAATGAGCAAATCATAGCAAATCTGTTCATTCCAGCAGTGATTTTAATGACTTTTTCACAGATCCACCGAGTGGGTCCTGCTTCCTTCCGAGCTTTCATCAGGGCCTTTTCGCTCTTCAGCTGCTTCAGGTGGAAGGTCGCCATATTCGTCATCCTCAGGCGAGAGGAGCGCCGCAAGCAGGAGCAGCGGAGCGCCAATGCAGTCAAGGCACTCAATGCGGTTGTGCAACTTTTTCAAGTAATGCACCTCGTGGCGTGCTTCCGGCGTAGCTACGAAAAGGCAACGGCTGCCAGCATATCCATGCATATCCTGCTTTATGCTTGGGGATGCGTATGTAGGCAAGACTGAAAGACTTCGTTCAAGAATAACACCAATAGAAGAACAAGGGCTTCATCCCATGGACGGTCGGGGAGACCTGAGGGACCAAGCAGTGGAGTGTGACCGGTTTGAATCCCCAACGATATAAGACCGTGCTTGAACCATCAAAATCCATCCTAAGTCAATGGATCCTGTTCCATCACATGTTTTACAAAAACAAGATAGCAAACTCAGGCGATCTCTCCACTTTCAACTGGGGTGATCTCTCCAACTGGCTTTGTTGAATCTTTCATTTCATGCGGGGGTGGTGGAGAGAGGTCTTGGCTGGGTTTCTCTACAACCGCGCGCACCGGAAATCACTGCCCAGGGCCGGCGATTTCGCACCTCGGTCTGAACGCCCTCCTTCTCTGAATCCAACGTTTTCGTCACCCTCAGTCGGAGAACCCGGTGACGAACGGCAGAACAAGGCGTTGCCGAGCAGTCACCACCCTGCCCGGTCTACCCTAGGGGTAGGATCGTAAATGGATGTAAATGGCATCCATCAAAGCTGCCTGCTAAAAGCACAATGACACAATGAAGCAGCTGTTGCTAGGTGTTCGCATTATTGGAGTCTAGATGAGTCTAGGGTTTCTGGCTCTTGCTAGTTATTTTATTCCCGCCATCTCACTGAAGTGAACGCTTTAAAGTGGCTAGTAATAGTATGACGATGTATGACGCATTTGTAGCACTGTGCCACCATCTAAAGATCTTGACTTGCTGGACGCCAATTTCTAGTGGCAAAGAGAGATGGTCTTCCACGAGCCGACGTTCCCCCCAAAAATGTTTCTTCAACCAACACCTCTCGTAGGTTCGGAGTGTGTAAAAAAACATCACCCCGCTCAACCACTTTGGATGTTGGGCTTCTCCCATCAGCTCACCACGACACCGCCACTTCTTAGCCGGGCTTTCACAAAGAACATGTCAGTTTCAGTTTCTGTATTTGAACGGTCCACACCCTAGCTCATCCCCTCAACTATACAGGGCTGGGGTAGTGGCCCGCCTGTCCACCTAGTGTTGCACCCGAGGATTGAACCCGGGGTCTAGCCACTAGACCATACCGGCCCTCTCAAGTTTCAGTGTCTTTTTGTATCTAAGCTTTCAGAGAGCTTCCTGTGTACGACTGTGACGTGAGTTTTTCACGCTCAAGGCGCTCAAATCCGTCCCGGATCATCTTCTGAGCATTCGCAATGGTTCCGTCCAGCTGTACCTTTGTTTCTCCTCAGCACCAGGGGGTGCACGAGTTCAACTTGACACGACCTGGAAAGGGGCCCCGCACGTGTGCATAACGCTTGCTGTCTCCCTCTCAATGCTGAACTGGCAAGCATTCGCAAAAGAATCACCTCTGATATATGGACCCAAACGCTAGGTAAACTCTATATACATGAAACCCGCGGTCTAGGCCGAACTTTTGGCCACCCTCCATTCTCCGTCTGCCAGGTTAGCAACGTCCATCCAGAGACCGTCGACCTCTCACGGGTTCACGTGGCATCCTCCGCCGGCCCTTGCAGAGCCGAAAGTCTCAGCTTGGTGGCATTCTGCGCTTCAGACATCTTCTGTTTGAACTTCAACGCAAAGAGGAAGGTCTCAGCTCTGAAATGAACCATTTCACTCGATTTTGGTGCCATCATGTAGGAGTTGATTTCTCATGGCATGCGTGGCCGCACTGCCGCAATGGGGTGGCATTGTTCCACCGCAATGCCGTTCTGGCGTCGCTGAAGCTCTACCCGACTCTACCCGACTCTACCCCAAACGTCCTTGCCGATGCCTTTCCGTGAATGAACACCATGGCCTAAGTACCAGAACGCCTTTCCTGCTTCTAAACTGTGCTGGCCGGTTCTCATCAACCATAATGTCAACCACTGATTCACAGGTGCACCTGCAAAGCAACTTGTTTCATCGCATCTGTGTTCAATTTCATTTACTTTTTACATGTTTCGCAACCTCAAAGAGTCCTTTCAAGGCTTTAAGGTGGTCGCGTTGGGATCACTACACCAACTAGAGTTCACTCAAGAAGGGAAAACATCTCAAGGCTCGCTTTGTAGCACCAGTGCTCCGACACGTCTGAGCAACTCTTCTTCTTTCAAACCATCTATCCTACTTAGTACGCAGTTCTGCGCATCTGATGAGACGTATCTTCTGAATCAAAGCGACCTTGAAAGAATCTGTCCGATCTTCCTCGTCCTCCTCTTCCTCTTGCTCAACTTCCTCCTGGAAGCTTCACATGATTTGTGGGGCGAAGAAGCATACAAAACACTGCTAGACTATATGAGCGACGGTCAATATTTACTACTAAATCAAAGGACGTCACGATTTGGTGAGTGTGCTATAGTTGTTTATGTTGTTTTCTTTTTTTTCAGATTGCGTATGTTATTGTTTTTGGTGAGTACACTATCGCTTTTTCAGCTTTACTTGTGTATATTGTCTGCTGCAACCGTGCCTATAATAGATCCACATAGCAGGGGGGAAGTTGATGGTTGTCTTCAGATCTATTCGGAACAATAACAACATAGTTGACAAAGCCATTGCCTAGGTGTGCTCCCAGTGGAAGACCAGAACGACCCAGAACGACAAACCAGTTATATACCAGCTTCAAGAACCTGGGAGGGGTCGTCCAACAGCACCCTGCAGCACAAAGGCAGCACATCCACTCTGGCTTCCTGAAGCAAAAAAATGCGCCAACGGTCTCGCGGAAGCAGGTCGCGAGCAACCACACCCAGACAACGAAAACGGTGAGGCATCCATCCCGGGGTCCAAATCCCACGGCGTCCTTTGCAGGCTTCTTGGGTGGTGGCCGTTTCTGTGCCAAGCCATAGCTGGATCGCAGCTCGGGATGCAACTGAGCCAACTCCTGCTGTCCAACAAACGCCGGGTGCGTGCTGTTAGCTACACTTCATACAACAAAAATGTTTTCTCTCTAACTCTGAACTCCAATTTAAAAAATACATGCTAACATGCTTGCAAATTGGGGAGTGCGAGGGTATGATTGCTGAGTCTTCCTGGATCATGCCCGTCTCTACCTCCAGCAAAATCAATCTACAAACCGAACATCAAAAAACATCAAATAACAATCATTTGCACTGGATCGAACAGCTTACACCATCCTTGCAGAACACTCCACACACTCGTCGAATCATGCGCCGCAGCTCAACGTCGAAGCTCCACCCACCACGTCCTGGGTGAGCTCCGCTCGAATGTCCAACCTGGCCGCCTTGTTTTTGCCTCAGAAAACCGCCGGTTCAGGCCTTCACAAGAAGCTCGGTTTTCGATTTTTTCGTCGGAAGTGACCTGAAATCATATCTCACCTGTTCGATCGGTGAAATCGGTGGATGGAGTGTTTTGATCGAAGTCCACCGATTCCTCAACACGGGACGAAGATGCATGCTGTGCCGTCCCAGTGTCAGAAAGCTACAATGCAGCTTTTGTGAATGAGATTGGGTGATTGAGATAGACACTCACTCCTACGGATTCCGGAACTCACTCCTGCGGATTCCGCCAGCAATGCACATATGTTGGTGTGTCATGGACTTGGGGGACTCTCAACATGGAGGAATGTCTCACTCGTTTAGAAGAACATGCTTCAGCACATGTTTGCACCATTGTCCCAGTGCCCTGATGTAAAGGTGGGGGGCCAGCTCCAGCGTCACCGTCCTCCCATCGTCCTCCCACCGTCCTGGACGCTTGGAACATTGTGAACATCCAAAAGACCGAAGCATTACCGTCTTATGTCCATGCTAAGCACCAAAGCAACGGACGCTGTTGCTTCGAAGGTCCCACGGTCCCACGTCTGGCGTCTAAACGTGTCCACCATGCGTCGTCCGCACTGCACGTCCAAGGTGCGATCTTGTAGTGTCTGATGCATTTGCCGGAGCTGTTCGATCAACGCACGAATATGGATTTCCTGTTTCGAACGAAATGCAGCGGCCGCCGAAGCATGCCGAAGCCGACGCTTCCTGATCAAAGGACTCTGCCCTACTGAAGCTACAAAACGATACAGGACTATATTTAAAGGATTTGGTAGGAATCTAAATCTAATGTTTGTCTGAGAGATCTCAAGCTTGAGAGATGTTGGAGTAGAACATCCCGGGTCCATAGCAGCTCTCACACTCAGTTCCCTATCAAAAAAAAGACAAGCACCCCGCATGGACACCAAACTGGTTGAATGGAGCTCCATGTTATGTAGCCTGCTGGTATTTGGCTACCGTGACGATCTACAACATCTTTGCGGCTGCCATTGCCCAAAGCCACTTCTCGTCCATCCACGACACTAATTACTACTGCCGTGTGCCATCAGTTTTAAGCACTTCCCGTGCAGGGAGTCGGCTAAAGTTCCAATTCCTACAGCTGCAATCAAGGCTCAGAAATGAAGGACCATCTCTCTTCATCCTCAGGCTGGGGCAAAGGGATACATCACTGACATGATGCCAATATCCAAAGCAAAACGAACCAAGCAAAACACACACACACATCAACATTCTGAGGATCAAAAACAATGATCAACAAAACAAATCCTCAGTCAAAATAGGTAGGTGGGACAGGAACCGAGCATGCAACAAAACGAATCAACAAGGGCAGGGCAGGGCGGCCGCGTATAGGGTATAGGGTAGGGTGGGCACGCTAAACACAAATAAATCACTGCAAAGCCAAATATAAAAATATAACAACACGATGCTGCATGTTCCTTTTAATACAAGTATATATAGAACTTCCTTAGCGTTTCTTTGGTGTATCTGCGGCATAAAAACCATTGTTTGGAGTCATTGCCTTATTATATTTGACTATGAGGACGTGTCTCTAGTTTTCGGATAATCAAGCTTTCGAGCCGTCACCATACATCACCATACCACTCTATGATCCCTGCTATATTCAATTACAACCCAGAGCAAGCGGTACCGCATCATTGTTGTTCTCACAGAGATCGTTTCCCAAACTTTCCTTCACTGATTCTTGTTCTTTTTTCTTTTGGCGATGGTCCATAAAGAAGGCGTGGCTCCAGGTGCTTCTGCCAAGGCTGCTGAATGATACGCAAATAGAAACCATACATTCTGCAGCACCCTGCATCTCTGGCTGGCAATATTTTTTCACAGTTTTATTACTGACTATGACGAGCTGGCATTCATTCACAGTACTGCTGTCCGGGCTTTCTGCATTCAAGCATGAGATAGCAAATAGCTGTGAACATGAAAGATGCCAACTGCACATGCGGATGCGGGATGAACGAGGACCTCATAGGGCGGGTGACCTTCTGTCACGAAAGGTCTCACTTCAAATTCCAGCAACCATACAACAAGGCAAAAACTGTGTACAGGACGTAATAACAAGTACAGGCTTGCTCGCAAGAGTACGACCAATGCATACCAATGCGTTGTTTTTACTTGGGTTCTGTATGGTTCTGTCGTTCCCTTCAGTGCTTGGCTGCCGAAGGTTCGTGCCGAGATGGGGCGAGATTGTCGTGGTGGTAGACTTTGGATTGGCAAATGCCGAGTCAATAGTGCGGGAGTGTGGGAGGAAAGAGTACAAAGTCATGGCAAAGTTATTTCCACACCCTGAATAGTTTAGCGGGGAAGAATAAACATAAGTTGTTTAGTCCTTTTTCTCGTGCAGGGTCTTTGAGATCTACTACCACCCTAAATAGCTTTGGTGGGTTGACTCTATTCCTTCTCCCTCGGTTGATTACTTCCTAGGGGGTTACTATGTAAGATCGTACACTACTGGATGCAAGGTGTCTGTGCAAGCTTTTTGAGGGCACTACCCCACATACAACACATGCCGAAAAAACGTGCGTGTCATTCAGAGTGCAAAGACCTAGAAGCTGAGCGAGGCCTGGCGGGCCAATTCCCAGTCGTAATCATGTCTCGGATGATGCTTTTGGTTGAGGATGTTTCTGTGGCTCACAGTCCACGGTTGAACTATGGACCCCCTTAAATGTATACTATGAGGTTCCTGGTGTATATTAGTTGCATGTATGTCGGGCAGCTTGCAGTTGTGAAACCCTTGGTAGGGTTGGGTAGGTTGAAGGTTGGGTAGGGACAGTGGGTAGGTAGCTTGCAGTTGTTCTCTTAACATGCAAGAGGAGTGCCGTTTACAATGTCCCACCGAGGCTCATCATCGAAGTGGCTTCGACTCTTGGAGGTCTCCACGGCCATCTGTGACTTCACCGTTCGCATCAAGCGGTTCCTGACGCCAACCGGGGCGGTGGATCAAGTGGTATTTCAGGTTCCAAGGTCGGATCATGGTGTGACCGTTTGTGACCGTTTGTGATACATTTAAGATGCATCCATGTTTGCCAACATGTCATTTCTATGACTCAAGAACCCACTGTAAGGTGAGATCAAAGCTAGAGGTTGCAAAGCATGATCAGGTGAGTCTTGCCTAAACTTCCACATGTAATTTGTGGTGGATGCAGCAAACCTTGGTGACCAAAAGATACTACTCACCAGATCTCACCAGGACTCTCAGAAGTCGTAGACAAAAACATCGGAACACGTCCCCCCGTTTCAAGGAAGCTCGTCATCAAACCCTCCTTGGTTCTGCACACATGAAGCGAAGCTCGTCGATTTCGAGGCCAAAACGACATGTGGAGGGGTTCCTTCTTTTTGCCAGGACGCAAATCTTGGAGATTGGCTGCATCCTGACGTGACAGGAAGAAGCGCCCGCTCTCCTTGGAAACCGGTCGCGCGGCAGTCTCAATCAAGGAAACTGGTTTGGCAATAAAATATGCTGTAATCCATCTGGTATCATCTCATTGCGGTGCAGTTGTTCACTACTTCAAGACTCGTTCCTTCTCCAAGCATCTCCAAGATTCATCATTTCCTTCTCCACGATGGGAACCAGCACCCTCGAGGCATCGAATCTGACCCACTCTCCACTCTCTGCCCAACAGGTGTGGGGGCAAGCTCGACCCAATGTGCCATTGCAAAGGTCAAGGGCCTTCAAGTCCAACCCGAAGATCAACCCCCCAAGCCCCTAGCCCAAAGGTACGAACATCGCTGCTTCATACTGCTTCCATATTCTGGTCAAGGAGCGCCCAAGGGTTGGTATTGGAATGAGCTTCCAGGGCTTTCGCGTTGTAATCCTCGGATCTGGCTTTCGCTGGCGGACAAACAGTAAGAACCGTCTGATCCAATTGCCCAAGAGTCTCCGGAATGACTGGCACATCAAAGGATACTGTAATGTCATTTTCATTTGCATCGCCATACACTTGGAGATTTTCTATGATGGATGCTGAGGTATTGCTGATGTGTGCCAATGTATCATTGTAGGCGTTAGGCGTGCATTGCAAACCGCAGTCCCGAAGAATGGACTGCTTCAAGTGAACATCATGTTGCTCAGACTTACAGGATCACACCCCAAAACAAACACCTTCCTGAATTATCTTGTTCTTTTTCATCCCGGGATTCTGGTTGTTTTTCACATGTTGTCACTTCCTGCCCTTGGCCCGTTGGGCACCGCTCCCAACGGTGCCGTCCACTCCAAGCATCCCAGGCTTGTCGCCCATACTTGGCCTCGGCTGAGACAGTCTGGCCACCCGACCCCACCTCAGAAAGCCATGCTGAGCATTATTTGTATAAGCCAACCTTGGACCATAGGGCATTGCGGGCATCTCTGCGGTTATGCCCCTGAGAAACCGAAAATCCTTCCACTCAAGGTTGCACATGGTTATGCACTGCTGCAGTCACAGCTCCAAACACTGCCCTGCCATCGCTGTGATGTCGCTTTTCAGCGCCACGGTGCTCCAACCTGCTGCGCCACCTGCGAGAGCTCCTGCCGTAGCTCCCGCAGCCGCTCCGTGCGCGTCACCGCGGCATCGCCTCGGCAAGAGGTTTTGCGACGCCGCGCGGGCACAAAAAAGGGCGAATCAAAGAATGGATTAGCAACCTGAAAGCAATACCTAATAGCAATGGCCTCAAACCTACTAGCAATCGCCTCAAACCTACTAGCGATGGCCTCCAACCTACTAGCAATGGCCTCAAACCTACTAGCAATGGC